ATAGGTAACACACGCTGTGTTTTGCGGACTTGGGGTTCTTCCTAAATGTCTTCAGCACAGAATTGACTCCAGGCGACTCCAGCATATAAAGCATCGCAACCTTCCTGGGGTATTCAACTCAACATTCGCTCCTGATCAGCATCATCTGAATCGACTACATACTACTCTTGTCCCCCTTCGACCAGTATTTATGTCCTTTAGGCTTTAACCTCTACTCCGGGTTGAAACGAGTCGTAACTGATAGAAGCCCCAACGTATTATTTTTTACTGGCGTTCATTCATATAAATTTTAGGGAGGAGAGATAGGTGGATTGTTGAAGATGTATGGTAAGAAAGCGTTACAAAATCGGTGGACACTTTGTGTATGTACAAGGTTTCAGTCGGGACGTCTCAGGCATACTTTCAGGGGTAACTGAGGTCCAGCTGCCCACTTACCCTTCACCAAGGGGGGATTTGAGCCCGCTCTGACGTGCTCGATCTCAATTCCTTGGACGGGAGAGAAATTGAAGGCCTCGATGAGGGCAACTGTGGCTACCTGAAGCTCCAGGACACTAGAAATTTTCGGTTCAGAGTAATACATACGAACCTACGAAACTAACTCACGCGAATCGCCAGCCTATGCAGGAACGAACACCGCCACCTGTTCAAAGCGGATGAAGATGTGAAAGTTAGATACGGTTAACGTACGGAGCTGTACGGAGATGGAGCAGACTTACTGAAGGTCATCAGGTTTGCATACACTCCCAAAGTAGTAGGTCGGTCACTATCGAGGTACCGCTCTGGGCTCCACACGTTTGCGTCATCACCCCAGACGGATTTGAACCTTTGAACAAGGTTTTTCGTCATTCAAAAGTGTGGAAAGAGGAGAACGCTCACCTGTTGTATTCGAAGATGTTCATAATTATTCTCTGCCCTTTGGTGACAGGAATCTCTTTCAACGCCGTACCCGATGAATCGATGATTGGGGAGCTCAAGGGAATGACATCGTCAGTCTCGGCTTCTCTAACGAGGTCCGGCGCAATTGGGTGGAACCTCAGGGTTTCCTGATTTCAGGCCATGAATGAAATGGCAGGTACGATCATGGAGGGCTTGCTTACCTTGATCACCGCGTTTAAGATAGGCATGACCTCCAAATCCTTCACTGCAAGTGGACCGTCGTTCCCAGTCTTGTCGCGAACCTCCTGTATCTCTTGAATTAACTTTGTTTGCCATTCTGGATTGTGCGCCATCTCGTATAGCAACCATGTAAGCCTGAACCCAATTATCAGCTCGAATTATCACAGAGCGCTTATAGAGACATACGTAGATGCAGTTGTCTCATGGCCGGCGAATATAATCGTCCTGCACAATATGTATAAAGTCGAGTGGAATTGATTACGATGCCATGACTCACGCCATCTGAGATAGAGCTTCCACGGGAAACAAGCTCTTGGTCGGATCTTGCGCAGCCAATGAACGGGCTGTAGCATATGTATTGGTCAACATTCGACGGGGGTAAGATCGTATTCACCTATGACGCTCAGTATATCTGTATTCTTCTCTACTCCACCGAGGCTTTCAGCCTTCTGGGTGATCAACCCCTTCGAGACGTTTTGGCTGGCCGCAATCCAGTGTGCAAATCGTCTATCTTCCTTAGTTTTCTTCAAGCCAAGTAGAGTGATGATGGGCTTGGGGAGAAACCGGTAGGAGGCATTGCGGAGCATTTTGAGCTGTGTTGGGTTGCCAGAGTCAAGACTGAAGATCAAAAACCACATCATCAGTTGGATGTTCAAGGATAGAAAGGCAGGGAGTTCAACCCACAATAAGTCCCGGAGTATATCACGGAGACCACCCTTCTTCTGTGCCATTGCATCAAAATCGTACTCAAACATAGCTGGGGAGACACTGTAAGAGGCAAGTCTCCGGTTTCAACGCGGAGTTCGTATACGTACCCTCCCCAAGAGCATTGAGCGTCATACCGTGAATTTGTCCAAAGCAGTTGATAGTCGTGGCTCCGCTCTCGATGTCAGATCGCCACTTTGCTATCAACTTTGATCGAGAACACTGTTAGATCCAATGGTCGGTATATAAACGGAGGTAAGTATAGCTCACCGATTGGACACACGTCTCAAAGACCGGGGCAAAGGGACGGATTTGTGCAGCAGAAAACACGGGGTTCATGATCTTCCGCTGTCGTTGATGAATCTCCCCTGTCACGAAAGAGATCAATCAATACCTCGATCTGTAAGTGTAGAATTGGACGTACCATTGACGGTCGCGAGCCCAGGTCCGAAGGTTTTCTCGATTTGTTGTTCCATGTCCATGGGTTTCTTGTATCGATACGCAGACTTGTGACAGATATGCTGCAGTGCACGGGGGTCGGAGACTTCTAGAATGTCCTCCTAATGGTTCGAGAGCGCACATCAGTAAGTGCCACGAAGGGAAATCGGTACTCACCCCAAAGATCCCAGCTAGGCGGAATACAGATCCATACTGCTCGTGCCACTCGTGTTCAAGTTCTCCTACCCTCCTCGCGCGAGTTACTTCCCATTCGTGTCCTATATTATTCATGGACATATGATCGAATAGAAAACAACAATGGCAACTGACCAAGGAGAAAGGACGGTGATGGTGGTCCTTGGATTGTTTCTAGTGACCGTCTCCTCGCCCGAAGAACCAAGGCAAGAATGGCGCCGGCAAAAACAGCTAGGGAAGCAGTTAGGAGGTGAATGAATGATGGCATGTTCTGGATAGTATGCCTGAGGCTTGCTCGTCCTTATATATGTGCTTTGCCGATTCCAACAATCCAGATAATTCACTGGATATACGTGCTTCGCGTGAGAGTCAATGAGGCACTTCGATAATATTTGCTTACCCTCGGGCCGTCCACCGGATTGTTTGCCGAGGCCAAGGGACATTACTGGGGTTCGGTGAATATGTTGCTGCAGAAACAAGCGACGTATTGTCGATCACCCCATCAGATGCTCACTGTATGCCCGAGGTCGAGAAAGCCGGAGGTAGTGAGCGAGTAGTAAGGTTTTTAGCACAATCAAGCCCAGGATGTATTGGAGGCTGCTGGGTCAGCGAATCTAGGGCCAGTGCTAACGCTTGCTACATGAATCACGTAGCGTCATGAGCTACCTGGAAGCTCTGTGATGTGCATACTTTGAGTTGAAATTTCATTCTTGTTGGCCCATTAGGATATCTTCGACAATTCAGTGAAGGCAGTTCAATGTCAAGATGCGAGCGTGGGACAAGGGTAGCTGAGATCAAGATTCGAAGCCTTTCAATAAAAATAAATGGGTGGCGGGCCGCCGGCTTGACGTCGAATATTTAGACCACATATATACCTCGAGGGAAGACCTGCTCAATTCAAAGTCACACCGTGATCGATCTCTGCCCACAGTTTTATTCAGGTTCAAGAGCGTTGTTCTCATATCGATGCAATTTCGCGTTTCCCACGATGGAGAGGGAGCCGATAAACATTTGTGCACGCCCCTTTCTCGATAGGCTGGGTAGAATTGACGTCTACGTTCGAATGACGTTTCCGGAGTGCTTCGAATACCTGGTCATCTCTCACACTCGTCCCGATGACCAGATTTTCGCTGACGCCTAATGCGTCGTCGACAAATTTCCTCCCTTGACCGTCCAACTTTCAGTTGAACGCTGGCAAAGAAACATGCAAATTATGCGCATTGCTATGAGAAGCCTAGTTGAACACCATTCTGGCCGGGAAGACCGTTGCAATTCTCCAGGGTTAACTGGACTTTGAACTGGATGTTGCGCTCCAACTACCCGAGGCATCTGGATTCGGGTCAATAACCGAAACTGTAGACTTCGCAAACGTCCTGATGACCAGATTTTTGCTGACGATTCTTGTCATGGGAGCCTCATTTGCTCGTTCTCGCGACGCCAAGATCTACTCTTATGAATGATGTTATGGCACGGTTATGCCACCGTGGCTAGATGACCGTGACAAAACGAGGAGAGTGCCATGACCGTCAATTTGGATGTCCCGTTTTATCTTTCCGGGTCATGAAAAACCTCAAACTTGGTTTTCCTACACTATCTCTTTTCATCCCTCATAACTTGTCGGGCCCACACGTACGAGATAGTGTCTACCAGGCTATATAGTATTGTTGTTGGTCCAGCGCCATGCCGGAGATGATGAGTATTCCTGGTTTCATTCTTGTCTCTGTTGCTGCTCACTTCGTATTCAGATACCGGCCACCGTATTGTACAGACATTGGATTCACACCGCCGGGCTTTGGTACAATTATAAACTTCATGTCGACTCCATGTCTCTCCCGGATCTCCTTCGTAGTCATTAGCGGCTAGCCGCCTTGAGAACGACCGCCCCCCCGCCCCCCCCCCCCCTTAGTCTCTCGATAAAAGATGCGATCGCTCAGGTCACTAGGGATCCTTGCGAGTTAGACTAGGCGGTGATCTTTCTTATGGTAGTAAGTTTTTTAGTGTTTCCAGCGCTCCTCTAGATTCACGAAGCTTCATCGTTTGCCTAGCTTACTACCTTTATCCGAATGTTAGCCCATCATCCCAATCGACGGTACAGTAGATGCTTCAACCATCAATAATAGAACCTTCTCAGTTACCCAAGAAAGTGACTGACCTCTCCGACCAGCCCTCGTGTGATGAGCTCGTACAATACCATTCGATATCACAAAAAACCAGTTCATAGATATTGCTCGGGCTACAAATCTCGGATTTACAATACGCTAACCCCCCACGTTTGTCACCTCGGTCTATCGAAGGGGCATTTTACCTCTTTCTTGACTGGATATCCAGTCGTGTCTGAGTGGATACGGTTGAGGAATGGCATGACGGTATGAGGGGAAAGGAAGCGAAGGTATATATCACAGCTACTCGATAAGCTTGCTTATGGGGTATAAAGTGTCCTCATGTTACCGACATGACTGTAGTGTGTTATTATGTATGTGGATTGATCCACGGGAATTTGCGCAGCAGCGCACTCTTGATAAAAGAAAGAAAAAAAACAGGCTTCAAAGTCCAACCAGGACTCGAACCTGGGTTAGTGGAATTTTTACTGCTCAGGAAGGCCATCAGAATCCACTATGATAACCACTATACTATTGAATCAGTGTATATGTATTACTACGTCGTAACTAGACACTTGAATAGGTTACGAAGATACTCAATAAGACAAAGTCGAGTAAAGCAGGGGCTCACGAGCAAAGAATCACGCCGTGGGTATTATAAAAACAGAAGGAAAGGAAACAGAAGCGAGTCGAAACGCTAGACTCAGAAGGAAAGGGGGGGAAAGCAATTGTTGATTAGCCCACCGCGAGGGTAGAACTCGCAGCCTTCAGATTGCTCAGTTGATTAACAAGATATAAGAGTCTGACGCTCTATTCGATTGAGCTAAGGCGGGCAGATAGGAGGCCCGGAGGAAGTAATACTATCTGAGCTCGATCCCCGACGTCTGACACCAAGTTGCATTCGAGAGTATCAACTATGAGCTTACAATATTGTTTTTAGTCCTAAGCAAGTACAATCCCGAGTCCGCCAGTCAAAAAGCTGTAACAAACGGAGAGGTGAAAAAAGCTACGGTCTCACCAGCCAAAGGTCCAACCAAGATTCGAACCTGGGTTAATGCACCAGCGAACCTATGTGGATCCGGTCAGTCACTGACCAGCCCCGGCAATTGGAATCAGGGTCTACCTGCCTGACAGGCCTGGTCAGTCTCTGATTCGCAAAGGCTTTTTTGCACAGATACCTCCAGTCTGATAGTGTCTAGTCTATGCTGTTAGACTGTCATGTGCCTATCAGTTCACGTCAGAATGTTATTTTCTCATCAATAGCTAGATAGGACATACCAGGCTGACACGCCCTCATTAGACGAGGGTAGACTGACCGGGAATGACCAGACAACATCAGACTGACCGAGCTGATCAGACATCGACGTCGCCAGACCAACAAGCGGGAATTAGGAACCCTCGATATAGCAGTTCCGCGAGGACCTTGGATGCAGCCTCACCAGCACAGAAAAACGTGAACACAAACAAGCTCAATTGCAATTAAGTACGAGAAATACAGATAAATACTGTGGGGATACGTCCGTATAGGCTCGCTTGACATCACCGTCTCCCGCATTTCATTTTGCAACGACATACTAGAGCCAAGGATCAGTCGACTGGTTCAATGATGGTCTCAGATAATAGAGTCACCCCTAAATTTTCAGCAGTGGACGCCATAGAGAGTGATTCGCGGCGTTTGGCAGTCATGATGTCGGTAAACAGATAGACTCATGTTTGGTTGCGAGTGACGGTCTCCAACGCCACACCGAATGGTCCTACGGTGGAGAACAAGCGCATATAGTCAGCTTCCTCAATTATTACGGTGAGACCAGCGGGAACATACTAGTTACTGAGTCCCGATTGAGGTGACGGCTGAGGGCAGCGGCGTACTCAATGCACTAGGAAAAAATTACCACGTTATATGCCTTTTGCCCAACCCAAAAATGCAAAAAACATTCTAAATACTTGCTATAGTGAAAACGCAGTGAAAAGTTGGCATAATCAATTGCAAATTTTGAATTTTGCCTGAATATCCGCAAAATCAAATATTTAGGCTGTTGATTCTATTTTCGAGTTTCGAAAATGCATCCAACATGGTATCTTTTTCCTAGTGATGATGTGTTGCGAGAGTCCTGCAGCGTAATTTAAATCAGCGTTCAAGTCTGTAATGATAATAACCATGTAGACGCACCTAACCCGCGTCAAGAATCAGCAGTACCATCTTCTGCTTTTGCTAGCGAGCTCGAGACCTGGAAGACTCGGTAACTCAGTTAGTATTTAGGTAGATCGCAGAGTAGCTCTCTCACCGATGGCTCATGTCGGGGTTCTGAGGTAGGTATACGAGGGTTGTAAGAGCAGAGCAACGTCTGCTGAGCAAGGGAGATGATGGTAGTTGGGGGGAAGGAAAGGATGAACGAAAGTTGGACTGCGTTGGGTTTATATACCTGGGAGGGTGGTCTGTGCGGCGGCCATGAAATTAGCAAGTGTTCCAGAAAGATGACAATGATGATGACGACGACGCACACGTCACAGAAGTACTGTAACGCCCCATGTAGTTATCACCATGCCGAAGCCGGCCTGAACTTATTTACTAATATTTGTATTGACTGGTATTTAAACTGGCGTCGAAGTAGTTCGACGCCAGCCTCTTCTTTCACTCGTACAGTAACATACCTTGGTTATAAATACCTTGTCGTGTTCACGCGCGTGATTGAGGCCTGGGCAGTAACAAGCCCGTATCACCTTTACACTTTTTTGAACATCTAGTATACCAGGGTATTACTACCATTAGTTTTACTCTCCCTACAATGACCGGCTCTCAACGACGTGGGTCTACCACCAATGGAAGTAACTCTCCAATTCCCGACGATGAACCAGCATCTCGGGCAAGTACCACTCCCAGGAACAACCAATCTGGGAATGAAAATACTGTCATTCCAGACATCGGCGAGGCGGGGGACCCAAATCCTATCGCCACGCTCTCCGAAAAATTGCGAGGGAAACAACCAGAGAATGTTGTTTACCCTCCAGTAGCCCCAGTACCTACCTATCTACCTCAATTCGCACAAACCTACAATCAGGCTGAATCAGGGTTAGCAGGTAGCCAGGAACACGATGCCGCACCCACCGCGGCATCAAACCCCGAGTTCCATTCCCGTGTTGGTACCTTATCCAGCAACGTGAAGTGGCCTCATGGCCAAGATGAATCCACTTTCATTGCGGACCACTCAACTCGGTCGCCCCATCAATCCCGAAGAAACCACGCCGTACAACAACGGCCCTTGAACTTAGTCAATATATTGATGAGTTGAGAACGTCCGTGAAAGAGGACTTCCTCACCATTGGTACCAAATTCTCCATTGAACTTGCGAAGGTTCAGACGGCGCATGAGCGCCGATTCGAAACAGTAGCGTCATACGTACTGGGAGTAGAAGAATCTATTGACCCCACGTCAGTTATTCCGCTCTCACCTCTGAATACAAAGGTTTCAACCGGACCTATATTGAAACAGGATTTTCTTACTACAATTCAAAAGATTGATGAAGCTATCAATGCGGAAATCATCACTCCAATTGAGTCGCGGTTATCCAATGTGGGTGTCACCCACATAACACAACAATCAACGCCACCTCCCGTGGCATCATCTTCAAGGGTTCAATTACCAACGGTGGTACAGCCAGTACTACCAACTGAACCAATCCGGAAACCCAGATCTCCGTTTGCCGCTACGGTCATGCAGGTCCCGGACGAGGACGAAGTCCTCTATCATCGTAACAAGCAAACAAATAAACCATCAGACTCTGCGAATGAGACACTGAAAAATGAGAACTCACTCACATGGAAAGACCGGGTAAATGCCCAGCGTATGCGTAATCATGAGCGAAGGGAAACCGGACACTCGAGTATCCAAGATCAAGGGATAGGCTTTGATGAAGATGCCATGCCCGTGGATAAGGCAACTACGCCACGAGAAGTATGGGATCGAGACTACCGAGAGGCGTTGAAAAATTTCAATTCAACGCCCACCGGATCCCGAGATCCGACTAATTTTACCCGTAACAATCGGGACCACTCAACTAATCATCATTGGAATTACACCAATGATGATCAGGATGCCCGTTTGCCACCACCTCCACCGGGCCCAAGGGGAATAGTTGGAGGTAACCCCGGGGATCCGGGCGGTGACAGTAGCGATAGCGACTCGAATAGAGGTCGTCCGCCTAAGAAAGATGATGGTGGCAAAAGAAGACGCACACCGTGGGGTGATGAGTCCTCAGATGAAAATTATGATAGTGAATATTCAACTGACTCACTATATTCGTACGACGAAAGCATCAGAACCTCGAGACACGAGGGTAAATCAAAAGCTGAGCGCCGTCGTAAGATAGAGCGGGCAGCTCGTCGACACGAGATTGAAAAACTCGAAGACTTTGCCCGCCGTCGTTGGACTAAGCGGATCCACCACAAATACCGTACCCAGATTCGAGAACAAGTTGGATCTGCTATCACCAGTGTTGATGGACTAAAGTCCATCAAGATTTCTGAACCAACTCCGTATGATGGCAAGGCCGATGTTGAAGTATTCGATACCTGGCTCTTGAATATCCTACGGTGGATCATAATCAACAAGATGAGCGGACCGGACATGGAACATATCCGAGTACAAGTCACCGGGATGTTACTTACTGGTAAAGCTCTCATCTGGTATAATGATGAGGTTGCGGGTGCTCACCGCTTCCGAACTCAGTGGACATTCGAGGATGTTGTGATTGGCCTCTTTGATCACTGCGTACAATCCTCTACAATTCACGAGGCCGCAGACAAATTTGACGCGGTTACATACGACCCCAAGGTTGGTATCCGTGAGTATTACAATACACTCACTAGGTGGGCATACCGAATGCTCACCTTCCCTGATAAATTCACTTTCAAACGAAGATTTGTTGACGGTCTTCCGAAACACATTGTACAGGAGATGATTGACCGAGGAGCAGTCCCTGACTACTCCGATGTTGAAACTATGATCCGTGCAGTTCAGAGATACGAGGATGACATTGCACTCAAGAAATATTACCTGAATCGCAAAAATCGTCCTGAATCATCTGGAAATACTAACAATCATTCAAATCGGTACCAAACACATGGTCCCGATGCCAATAACCGCTCTCGACCTCAGGGTCGACCCGATCCAGCGAGAATGATCGGGGGTAAGAGATTCAAACCTGCAAGGCGCAGTAGGTCACGGAGTAAAGACCGTGAACGCACTACCACTCGTAAGCCTGGCTCAGGATTCAAATTTGGACAATTCAAGTCAAATAACGCACCTCCCAAGGGTGATAAACCCAAAGTATCTCGGACTGAAGCCGAACAAAAGAAGCTGTGCTTTGGTTGTGGCCAGAGCGGCCATTATGCTAATGATCCCACATGTTCAAGATACGGACAGCCCCGGTTATTCGCTATAGGCGAAGATCATGGTGAATCTGATCAGGAACATGGAGTTCCAGTTCCAAATAACGACTCAGAGAGTCCTGAAGCAGCAGATAACCCACAAGGTTCAAGTTCTGAAGGGGAATATACCCTTGAGGAATATGAGGACTATGGCGGGTACATCAATGGGGATGAGTCTGAGTCTGAGGACTGGCTCGGAAGCATACCCGAAGTAACGACCGAGCACACAACACTCGATGATTTCTATAATCCACTCTTGGGTAGTGGTCCGCCTGTAATGATTGAGGACAATGTTGAAGAGGAATGTTTCCCGACTCTCGACCTCAACAACAATGACTACAAAGTTGATGATCAATTGTATTCTATTGAAAACAACGGAAATTCGTCAGTTATGAAAGTAGATATGC